ACCGTTGGGGAGAGCTTGATTACGAACAATTTTCTCTCCATTTTTCTGATTGTAGAAGATGTATCAGTTAATCCTTCATTTTTATTATCTTATTTATTAAAAGTGAAGGAGGGATGTGCAAGTATGCAAATTATGAATGAAATGCATGCAAGTAAACAATTGTTGAATAAACAAAAGGAATTTTTATTTATTTAGAGAAAGTGTACATTCCCCTACACTATGCTACGAAGCACTTTTTGACAAAAACAAAAAAGCCTAAAGAAACCTACAGGCGGGTTCTGATTTCTATGTAATTCTTCTTCGGCTTCCCGTACATGATGAACGAGTGCTTCGATCTGCTGGTGGACCGCCTCATATCTTCACTATACTTCTTCGCCTCTTGATGGACGACCAAGGCTTGTAGATTGTCGAGTCTCTCAATGACTCAGTCTCTTTCTTGTAGCACCTGGTCGTACTGAGCTAACCCATCTCTTTCTTTGCAGCGCAACTCAGTAAAACTTTTGTTAAGTCTCTGGGTGGTCTCCCTTCCTTGACGTATTTCAGACCGAGTCCTTACGAGATCTTGTAGCATTCCCTTGATCGTCTGTGCCTGTTTTGCACATTCAACCTCAAGGAGTGTTGATTTGGCAGTTATTTCTTGGAGTTGATTATTCGAGTTTATTCTGGCAAATTTGGATGCTCGGATAACCTGCTCACTAGAATCAACACATTGGTCCTTGAGGCGCTTTATCTCTTAATCTTTCTTCTTGCACTGCCTTTGTAAACCGTCTATAGTAAGGATAAATTCTTGTTCTTTTTCCTTAAGGGCCCTCATCTGGGCTCCCATGATTTCTATCCTCTGGGTCAAGGCATCGACTTGGCTTTGGAGCTCTCCACTGGCTGATGGCGGCGCAATAGGTGAGGCGGATAGTTGTGACATCCCTCTGCTTCTCCTCCATTCCTCGTAGTCACTGGAAACAGCTACTCGAGCTTTGCTTAGCTCTCTATCTCCCATAAAGACTGGTTTCTCCCATGCTCTCCGTACAACAAGTGAGTTCGCAACATTGCATGGGTCTCCGAAGAAATACAGTCTTCCGAGTTCTTCCCGTGATAATGCGGTTTGGGTTCTCATGAGTTGTCTCATAGCCACTTTTGGAGAATAAGTTATGCAACCTCTAAGACCTACTAAAGGTACGCTTGGATAATCTCCACATCTGATGAGGATAGGGCCAGGTCGGAACCAAGGACATGCCCAGGATAAACGGTTGGCATCCCATTGTTCCAATTCGACCTTCCACTCCATGGTTAGACGTCGATGGAGAGGGATTCTTGAGAAATTCTTCAAAGGATCAGGGAACATCCCCATGTGACTTGAGGCATAAAAGTGCGTGATACCCCACATGAATAGCAATGAAGAACATCATCTGAGTGTTCTTCCTTGTTTTTGGTGAAAAAATTCAACCAAAAGCAAGGTGTTGGCAAGAAGTGCAGGCAAGGGACTCTTCGAGTGCACGTCCCAGGCGAAGAAGGCGTCCATGACGACTTGATCCACTGTGTCGAGATGAAAGGAAAACAACATAGTCCCAAACACGATTAGAGCTAGGATTTTGTTAAAAATGAACTAGTCTGCCCTTTCAACCAAAGAGGACAAATGGTCTTCTAACATTGTGACTGAAAATTTTGTTTTCCTTCTCTTATTTAGACTTTTTATAAGCCACGGTATCCTTGAGCCTGGAGACCGATAAATAGAAGGAATTGGAAGCATGCAAACTAATGAAAATTTTCTTTCCTTCCCTTATTTAGACTCTTTATCATTCCTTATCTCCTTGAGTTTGGAGGGTTGATAGGTAGGAGGCATTTGAAGCATGCTAACCAAAGATAATGAAACCTTTTTTACTTCCCTTATTTTCTAACTTTAAATTTCTCTATCATTAAAAACTCCCTTAAACTTGGAAGACCAGTGTATTATAGGTATAGTGATCATGACACGTATACCTTATAAATCATGCCACATATAGTGTAACTATGTGACTAGGGTGACACATTGTAGGCACACAACTAAAAGCTGAAAGGCTTAGGAAAGGCTAAAGAATAAAGGTCATAAAAAAAGAAGTTCATTAAAGGTAATTAATATAAATAGACGAAAATTCTAAAATATATGACATTATTTGCTTTTTTTTTTTCATACTTCCAACGCTAGTATCTCTAAGTTGATTTGAGCGCTAAATGTCTTTTGTATACATACCAAACAAATATCTTGGAATATTTAAAAATTGAACTACAACATATGATATTTTAAAAGGTTCTTGATCAAGAAGAAATTAAAAAACATAAACTTTTATGATAGTAATTTTAAAAAAAAGTTATCCTATTTTAAATAATTTATAAATAATTAACAACATATATAATTTTTTCATACTTATCTCCGGTGAGATTTAACATGAGATTCAGTCATAAAGTCTGGTTGACATTTGTAGCATAACCAGATCAATGCTATATCACTACAAAAAAAAAACTGATTATCTACGGCAAAAATCCGTAGGTAATGGTAAAAATCCGTAGATAATGTCATTTTATCTACGGATTTTTTTCCGTAAAAAATCTGTATGTAATATGGTCGTAGGTAATTACCTACAGAATTATTATCCGTAGGTAATGTCATCCGTGGGTAATTACCTACGGATTGTAATCCGTAGCTAATTACCTACGAACAGAATCCATAGCTAATTACCTACGAACAGAATCCGTAGATAATTACTTACGGATTGTAATCCGTAGGTAATTACCTACGGATTATATTCCATAGGTAATTACCTACGAACAGAATCCGTAAATAATTACCTATGGATAAAATCCGTAGGTAATTACCACATTCATTATAAAATTTTATCACCACCAATGATTTAACTAAATTTTATCCGTTAATTACATACATATTACACACAAAGTATTTAGATATCAAATTTAACAATATTTCATAATATTGATATGCACCAAGTGCATATTTAAATATCAAACACAAATCCTAATATTAGCATGCATCAAATAGTCATTCAAAATATTTAAGAACATATAAATCTAAAGAAGTATTATAATAAATATTATGACAATATTGTTTGAGTGTCTTAATAATCTGAGTAATGTCCTTGTTCATTTTGAGGTCTGCTCTGCGAAAGCTGGTTGATGTTGTGATTGTTGTTGTTGCTGCTCTTGCTGCTCCTGTGATTGTTGTTGTGATCCTTGTTCGGAAGGTTGTTGTTGAAATACTTGTCGGGCATCGGGTGGAAGTAAAGGAAGGACAACACCGACAAGTGTTTGTAATTGGCGGCTCAATCTTTCATTATCCTCCCTATAACTAAGCACTTGTTCCTTTAATTGCATAATGTCACGAGAATCAGTAGATCCTGAATATGAGAGGGTATCTCCAGGCCTAAAATTATGGGCAAGTTCTCCAACACCATAGATCCGACCTTTTTTGTTGCCACCTGCAGCAAGAATCCAACTTTCAGTCCTTATTCTCTCCTCCTCTATAGGATCTAATGGAGATGACTCAGTTTCAGCAACACATGATGCTGCATCAGATCTAGCCTGAGAGTATCTTCTCTGAAATTCTTCCTATTAACATACAAATAAAAATTATGTACATTATACAACACGTATCTATCATAACATATAAGAGAGTAATATTAAATAAGTTCTCAACTTACATGAGTTTTTCTAGACCTTTCATCAACAAATTCACCATTAACCTTTCGTATATGAGTCTGTTTGAAAACCTCATCAATATGTGCAGGACGACCCAACTCCTTTTCCTGCAAAAAAAATAATTAATAACATATCATAAGAAATGAAAGAAAGAAAGAAACTTTTGTTATAATTGCATATATACCATACGAATGGCGTGATCATACATACTAATAGAACCACCTGTGTGTAAACTACCACCCATCTCAGAAGCTCGATTCTTTTGAGCTTGTGCACACTTTGCACGATAATGAGTTGAGTTCCACTTGTTCAACAGAGTCTTCCACACATCATCAAATATCCAATAGGGCTTCTTTTCTGTCCTTCTAGCCTCTTTGAACATTTCAGATAGCCTATGTCAACCCAAACATAATAATCAGGCATGAAACCATTTTTATAAAGGTGAAGTGTAACCATTTCCATTGGCAAGATCTTTGTACATTGACATTTATTGCATGGACATCTCGTTTGGACTTCATTTTGATAACAAACTTGTTGAGAAGCTTTCATGACAAACTCTTCAACACCATCAATAAAACTTTGTTTTAAACCACCTCTTTTACTATGACTTCGATCATATATCCAGTGGCGATTTTCATGAAATTGATCCATGTTCTACAAAATATGAACTTCAATGTTACACTAATTAAAATACCAACTTAGAATAGATTTTGACAAGTGTTTGGTAATGACCAATATAATAACTTGAAGGCCATTCCATGTAGCCAACAAGGTTAGAATAACTAAATAACTAATCTCATCTTCATCCTGAATCAATGCAAACAAATTGAAAAAAATAATCAAACAAATCAATTCTTCCACTAGCCATGTTACATGTTACATTTACTACCCCCCAATTCCTCACTGAATACATGGCATGCATAGCCATCCAATCAATCATTATTTAAAATTCAATATAGAAAAGTCAAAGGTAATTACTTACCTACTAACAAAGATCTTGAAATTGGATGAGCAGCCACTTCCTTCCCTTTATCCTTCTATCTTTTGTGAAGCTTCAATATCAACAATCTCTGCATTTTAAAAAGCTCATGAACCAGTTAATATGTCATTAGATGATTCATAACATGGTATCAGATCATGAACCATTTAACAAAAAAACATAATGTGTTAAGATCTGATTGCAAGGTATGGAAAATGTGGGGATCATAAGGTTTTGGGCTCTTCAACTATAATAGCAGCCAGCTTTTGTAGTGTGGCTTCCCTAAGATGCTTATCAATTAGTATCAAAGCCTTCCACAATGTTTCTCAACTGTAACCGAGGAGTGGGGTGGTGATGCAGGCATTGTAGTGTTTAGAGCACAGCAAGCCCATGTGAGCCATGGGGCTGTGGAGCGTGGTGGGGATGTTGGGATCTAATTACAATTTTTCCTTTTACATTACTTCGCTAAGAGCATTGACAATAACAATTGAACACAAGAAACAAAAATACAAGTATCTAAAACCAGGTGTTTTCATTTCACACTCAATAGAGCCACATATCTTGAATTCAAGCTGGTGTGATTGGTGTGATCTCTTTCATAATAATATTGGGAGCAATAAATGTGAAGGTAGCATAATGTAGGGAATATAATGGATTGAGCAACGTTGAATACCCTGCCATAAATTGCAGAAAACACAGTGCAGTTTTGATAGAATTGAGATACATTTCAGCCAATCAGGTATTTTCTAGGAAAAGACAAATTGAGATGTAAAACAATATTCCTCGATGTACAGCCACATAAGGTCATACGCTTATATGAAGCAATCCATTTCAATTTGCCAAGCATTGTTTTAAATCCCTACTTAATAGATGCTCAGCCCATGCATGTGTACAACTTACAATGTAATTATTTGATTCTACTCCAGTGCTTGCCATAAATAAGATTATCCAGCAATGAGCATGTAAAGCATGATGACATAATTGATGAGTAAATGAATTAAAAACTAAAAACATCAAAGTTGTATTCACGAGACTATAGTTGAAGTAGAATCTAAATTTTTTTAATATCATCTCTAGTGATTTCCTTTTATTCATAGTTAATTTAGATTCCAATTAAAATCATCACAAGTCTTCCATAATAAAATCAAATCTACCCACATCATGATTCCTGAATTATAGTTATTCATGAATTTAGCTTTGCATGATTATATCTTTATAGTTATTATGTTTCATGAATTTCTTTTATATCTTTAAATACATATATTATACATATCCTATTCTACTTTTCTTATAATTAATGTATCATCGTATCGGATACTAATCGTATTTCATATTTGATAGTCGTATCGGATACTAATCGTATTTCATATTTGATAGTCGTATCGTATCCATGCATCATAGGATTTCAACAATCCTTGACCTATCCTAAGATATAATAGATAATATTCCACGGAGAGTAGTCAATGATCCAGAAGTTGTATAATTTGAAAGTATCATACTTAGAGGAACTTCTGTCAAACACAAATGCCACACAATAAACAGGACTTGAGTAACATACAACAAACTAAACAAGCAAGCAGTCACACAAGTCACTAACATAAACTATAGAGAATTAGCAACAAACTACAACCACAACCACTTATGAGGGTTCCATTCTCAAAATATGAAAAGAATCTCACCAGCAATGCTTTCTGCAGAAACAACACCGAGTTCATTCTTTGCAGTAGACAGAAAGTACGCCCGTGCATCTCCAAGAGAAAGCTAACAAAAACAGATTTTCTTAGGTGCATTGAAGCAGCAACCAATTAAGTCAAGAACATTATGGAAAAAGAAAATCAACATTCTTGAATGAAGGTAACAATACCACAAGAGCTTTAACACATTGAAACTGAAATTACACAATGCACGGTAAAGTTGAACACAATGAAGAAAAAAAGAATCAATGCCATTAGTCACATTAAACACAATGCACAATTTTGATAGGGCCAAGAAAAGAAAAGAAAAGAAATTTGTATGTTTTCACCAAAGTGCAGACAACAACACACATCAGACAAAACCCAACTCAAACCCTCAAAATAATATGGACCAACCCACTCAACACAGAAATCAACTAAACGAAACCATCAATACTCAATCCACCCAAAACACATCAAAATTAAACAAAACAGTCCAGAATCGAGAAAAATGCATGCAAGAAATCATATCAAAGTAGAATAATATGAAACACTAGGCTTGACCCGTGGCCTCCCTGACTCACCTTTAGGTCACGACAAACTCAGTGGCCCCATGGGGGGTGGACTGGACCGAGGAGAAGCGGTGACTGCAGCAGGTGGTGACTGCAGCCGGCGTCGAGGTGATTCCCGTTCTGGGTTACAACGATGCTGGTGATAGGGGGCGACAGGGGGTGTGGTGGCGTGGTGACCTGGAAGTTAATCTGCGCCTGGGTTTCGCGGTGGCCCGCTATGGGCAGTGATGCGCGGTGGTTTGGGGCAAAGGGAGAGATTCAACACAGGGTGAGGGAAGTGGAGCAGAGTGGAGACATTGGTGGTGAGGAGTGGGGGTTGGGACGCTCGATGGTGGTGGTTGTCGCGGATGACGACGAGCTTTGGTGGTGGCTGGATTAGGGTGAGGTCGCGACTGCGACTTGGCCTCGCGGTGGCTAGCAACAAATGCTAGGAGGTGCGACCAATGGCTCAACGAAGGGGACGATGACCTCAGAGTGGCGGTGCATCGTGAAGATGGTGGTGGAGGCCGCGAAAGGGGGGGTTCATGGTCGTGAGACGTGGTGGTTCCGGTGAGGGTGATTGGGCGAGAATCTACAGGCAAAAAGCTGAGATGGGGTGCGACCGCGGGGTGGTTCTGCGTTGGTGAGAAGCTTTGGTGAGTGAAGGTGGAATTAGGGCACGGGTATGGCTGTGGTGGTGATGGGGAAGAAGCCCGGTGGTGCAGAGAATAGGGTTAGGTATATGGGTTCAAATGAGGGTACCGTGTGGGGTGCTTAAGAGTGGGGAAGCTACAATCAAGGTTCTGGTGAAGGAGGTGGGCTACGGGTTATAGTGTAGGTTAGTGAAATTGAGGGAGAGGAAGGAAGGAGTTTGGAAGGTTGGGTGAGGCGCGGAGGAAGTGTGAAAATGAGGATCCGAGTGAGGGGGTTTATTTTTTTTTTTTAATTACACATCCGTAGGTAAACGAGTAAAAGAACATTACCTAACTCCTATAGGTAATGCATAATCATTTCATCCATAGGTAAATTCCATAGATAATAGATAATTTATATACGGATAAAATTTCGTAGATAATATCCGTATGTAATATATATTTTACCTAGATAATTTATATACGGATAAAATTTCGTAGATAATATCCGTATGTAATATATATTTTACCTACAAATTTTTATCCGTAGATAATCAGCTTTTTTTTTTTTTTTAGTGTATTAAATTAGAAGTTAGAACGCAACTTGCTTAGTGTAATGCATACATTAAGATGCGAACATCGTAAGCTTCGTTAGCTTGGAAATCGACATGCGAGTGAAACAAATTAAATTTAATAGTCAAATAACTTTAACAATTCTTCCATTTTATGAGGAAAATGTTAGATAAAATAAATGGTTGTGACATACAAATTGACATGAAAAATTTAGAACACTACCAGTTTATACTTTTATATCAATATGTAAGTGTTAAAGATATTTTTTCTAAAAATATTTTTAAAATTTAATTTCAAAGAAATATTTTTGAGAATAAATTAAAAATAAATGTACTTTATAATTCTAATTTAAAAACTATTTTAAAACAGAAGATGATGACATCCATTAAGTGTCAATGTAAAAAATGACTTTAATAATTTCATGATAATAAAAATAAGTGATATTAGTGAGAAACGCACGTACAAATCCAAAACAAAGCATATTTTATTAATTTTAATGTTTAAAATTTTAAAAAATATTTAATACAATTTTAATTACCGTTTTTATTTTTTATCAGCTAAAAAATTTAAAACTGAAGAGTAAATAAATCAAATCCTTAAATTTTCGTGAACATAAACCACAAAATCCCAAAATATATTTTTTTCTTCTTTTTCATTCTCACTAAATGTTTTCTTATCTTTCTAAATATTTTTCTATCGGTTACCACCTTACTGAGTGTGATTTGATTTTGTATCTAGAATGTTCAAAATAATAATTTAAGATTTGTTTGGTTTTAATACCATTTTATGTTTTTAAATAATTATAGACTCGTATAGCATTTTTTTTTTTTTAAGTTTCCTTAAAGAGAAATGGAATCAATAAAAGGATATTTTAACATTAATAAGTAATTTTTTCAAAATGTAAAAAATTAATTAACGAGTACATAATAAAAATATTATTTTTGAAATGTTGTAACGGAGATTATTATTAGCAGTAAAAAGGAAGCAGAGAAACACCATTAGAATGTAGCCCAGCACATGGTAATTAAGATACAACAAACCTGGGCTTTGTTATTGGGTTACAGCCCATTGGAAAGTATCATTGGACAAAAAAAAAAAAATATGATCGTTGGTCACACACAGGTCTCACACAATTGCCACTAGCAAGTTGAATGAAGGTTTCAGCATCTGAAATCAGAAAATTGGAATGTTCAATTCAATCCTAGGTAGCTGCTTCAAAGTTTAAACTCGAAGAAACAAATAGTAAAACTTAGAAGAAGAAGAAAAGGGTTTTGAACTGAATGGAGTCGTCGTCGTCGTCGTCCATTCGAATCCGAAGGTTCGAAGAGCTTCCAACGGCCAGAGAGTTCGACTCTCTGATAGAGCCTGCAAACGTTCCCGCTGTATGTAAACAACAAACAACACTCTCTGTTCTTTCTCTTCTCTTTGTTATGCGCAATTTATAATTTATTATTAATTAATTGGTGTTTTTTTCAACCGGGAAAAGGTTTTTCGCGGGTGCACCAAAAGTTGGAAGGCATTCTCACACTGGAATCCATCCAACGGTGGCCTCGACTACTTGCAGGTTCTTCTTCACTTTACTCACATTTTCTTCTCTGCATCGTTCATTTCTTTGTGTCTTATATCACTTATTGAAGAAGTAAACTATCTGTTTAACGTTTTCATTTGCTGCTGTGTTGAAACCTAGGAACGTGTGGGCTCTTGCACGGTGGAGGCTATGATATCTCAATCTGCACCTGTTTTTTATGGGGATCTTGGAAGCCATCAGAGGGTATTTAAAAAAAAAAAAAAATTGTATGATGTTTGCTCTATAGATGAGATGATGTGTGATAAATCTTTGTTTTTCTTTCCTTGCAGGTTCCCCTTCCATTTTCTAACTTCCTTGATTTTTGCAAGAAGCGGATGCAGATGCAAAGTAAGCACCACCGACCGGGCCTTGACCATTGTCCTGCGTCACAAACTCATGATGATACGCAACATGTTGGTTTGGCCTTGGAAGATGCTCCCGAACAAATTTATTTAGCACAGGTTCAAAATTCAACATCTAATAGTCTCAAACATAGAAGGAATAATATCCTGCTTTATTGTATCAATTATGAGGTCATTGGATCTCTAAATACATGAGCCTGCTGGTTATTTTAGGAAATATATACAGTTAATTCTAAGTAGATAAATCCCTGTGATTATGGAATTGTTTTTAAATGCATAATCCTAGTATTAATTAACAAGATATGACTGTAATAAAGAATAAAATATAAAACATCCTAAAATCTACAATGGGTGATGAATTTGACACTCCCCTCAAGTTGGTGAGTAAGTGTTCTCCATTTCCAGTTTGGATATAATTTTTTCAAAGTTAATATAGTTCAACCCTTTGGTGAGTATGTCTGCAAGTTGACCTTGAGTATACACATATGGGGTGCAAATCAAGCCACAGTTTTAGCTCTTGCTTGAAAAAATGTTTGTCTACCTCAATATGTTTAGTTCTACCATGTTGTACCGGTTGTGGGATATACTAATTACATATTTATTGTGACAATATAACCTCATAGGTCCATCCCACTTTCAAGTCTAATAATATAATCTTCAGTCATAGACATTCACATATTCCTTGAGCTATTGTTTGAAATTCTGCCTTAGTACTTGTTCAAGCTACTACACTCCGTTTTTTGCTCTTCTAAGTCACCGTGTTTCCACCAACGAAAGTGTAGTATCCAGTAGTTGATTTCCTATCCACTACTGACCCACATAATCTGCATTATATGCTTCAAGACTTACACTCTTGTTTCGTTTGAATAAAATCACTCTTCCTGAAGTCTCTTTTAAATACTAAACAATTTTAAGAGCAACTTTTAAATGTGCTTCCTTTGCTTGGTATATAAATTGGCTTACTTGACTCACAACAAAAGCAATGTCTAACCTAGTGTGAGATAAGTAAATAAACTTGTCCACAATTCTTTAACATATTTTCTGAACCATGGCAATATCCTCCTCTGTATTTCCCAACTTTATATTTGGATCAATTGGGGTATTAGTTGGTCTGCATACTGTCGTACCTATTTCTTTAAGTAAATCAATAATATACTTTTGTTGAAATATGTAAGTCTCTCTAATGTCAAATTTTGTGGCAAGGCATTGACTTAACATTTGCTGTTCTTTTTTGTCATTCTTAGTTGCTATAATATCTTCTGCATACACCAATAATATTGTTAATCCCCCTAAAATTAAATGTTTGATAAATAAAGTGTGATTAAACATCTACCGCCCTTTTGTACTGGTACATGCATAAATACATTCATTCTAAGGAATATCCATCTCATAAATCATTTGTTTTAAACAATAAAAATCGTTTTGCATTCTAGAAAGCGGTTACTATTCTTCATGCCCTCATCCGCATACAAAAAAAAAACACAAAATCCCAAACACTATCATACATCATGTTAGAAAATAAAACATGATAATGTTTAGGAAAAAACAAACACTTGCATTCATGCATTCACCAAACTTCATCCTCATAACATGCATCTAATAATAGACAATCGAAGAAGTGGACATTCCTCAATACCATGAAAAGAGGATTAGGGCATTCGCATGCCATGCACAGGGAGTCAAAAAGAAAATAAATAGAAATTCTAACCTGTCTATGGGTTCATTTAGGCTTCTCCACTTTTTAAATAAAAATGTACTTCGAAACATTGCATTGAGGAATGTACACTGTCTGGATGAAATAAATAAAATTGTTTGTTTTCATCATCTCTTCAAGTGTCTATTGTATTCATAAATTGCATTCATTCTCACTTTAATAATAATAAGATAATAAAAAGAAAGGATTAATTGATGTGATTTCCATGAATTGGAATAAGATGAAGAGCAAATCTTTTGTCGTCAAGTTCTCTCCAACGGTTGATCCGCCTAAAGAGGATAATAAGCCTCAACCGTTGGGTATCCGAGTTAATAAGGAAGAAGGGGCAAGAATGTTGTTACATTTGTTCACCCCATACATCAAATAAGGCTGCACCATGGAGATACACAAAAACACCGCCCATTAACAAGGATATCTCCAGCATAGCTGGCATTGGGGCCAAAATTAGAAATGGAAGAATCTATTCCCCCAAGGAGCTGTAAGATGACGCTCCTACAAATAAAGAAAAAATAAAAAGACCGAAGAAAAACATAATCCAAAGAGGAAACTGAGTAGACTTTGGATTCACGATGCTAAGGCAGTTCTCTCAATGCTCCGCCAAAGAGACAAACTCACGGTAGGCGACAAGCTGGTCACGGTTCGAGCTAAAAATGACATTCGGATCAACAAGTCGTTTGCCCTACCTTGAATGGATGCGACTGAAAAGGACCTTTGAAATATCTTTTGCCAATATGAAAAGACTTCCCCAAGGATATGAAGGTGACCCACATGGTGAGGAAATATGGATGCCGCCCAAACCAAGGGCTCATTAGAAGCTCATAACGTCAGAAGCTCATCAGAAGTAAAAGCACATTGGTTAATCCTTTTGAAAAATTAATTGAAATAGTATTATAGGATGCATATCACAAACATTGCAGGCATAGGGTCCTTTCTCTCAAAAGGAAAAGAGAAAAGAGAAATGAGAAAAATAAAAATAAAAAATAATGTCTGCTAGGAGATTCTTAGGCAAAAGTTAGGGTAGCCCGCTAGATCGGAAACCCGCAAAGGGCGGTCTAGGCAAAAGTTAGGGCATTCATAAAAAAGGAAAAAAGCCCGCTAAGATATCATAAGCAAAAATTAAGACAGCCCGCTAGACTGGAAACCCCAAAAAGGGTGGTCTAGGCAAAAGATAGGGCTAAACCAAAAAATGAATAAAAGAGAGGGACCCTTCATCATAATCATAAAAAGTCCAGCAGGAGAATGTCAGTCACTTTTCTAGATGCATCAATCAAAAAGAATAGATTGCATTTAGGGCATCCACACACAAGTAGTCGCACAAAACGACTTTGTCAATGTCAAAAATGAAAGAAATAAAAATTACTTCAGACAAATAACAAAAAACGAAAAGCATTCATGCATATAAGGAGACTAGCTCCATGTTTGTGATTGAAAACAGGATCACTAAGACTGAGTCTCCAAATAATGCCCTCAAGAAAATGTAGCAAGTCGTCAATCAAGCGACTCAGTAGAATAAGAGCTTCTAAAAATCAAGAGCTCCAGCTACCATCCTTCTACCCAGAAAAGAAGGCACAAGAAAGTAATAAGTCTCCAAACATTGCTCTCCCTCAAGAAAGAAGAGCGAGTTGTCATAAGAAGCTTCCAAAAGCCAAAGCTCCAATCATCACCCAATAAAAGAGGGCACAATCATCAGACATCATAAAAGAAAAGCCGACGGAAAGGCTTAGTCATCCCCAAGAGGATCCCTTCCTACTCCGAAGGCAAAACAAAAACACTCCTCACGGCTCAGCATTATCACTACATGAGTCATCGAGCACACTCACCCAAAGTCTCCTTCACACTCCCCAATGGACAATAAAGGCTTCAAGAGCCCATCATCATCAACAGTCAAAAGAGTCCAATCTCCATACCAACAAGGGCTCAACAAAAAAAATTAAAAAAGAAGAAAACTCTTGCATCCCCAGAGGATGTCCAAAAGAAAAGGCAACAACAGAGAAGGCCGAATAAAAATCCTCAAGTGGATCTCCTAAAAAGTCTACAAAAAAGAATCAGAAATTCCCATGCTCTAGTGGAATAAGAGCTTCACAAGTTTAGCTCGCATCAACATCAATCAAGGAGCCAAGACTCCATCCCTAGAAAAGAAAAATCAGATCCCCAGGGAGTCAACTAATTCCCTGGTGGATCACCAAAGAAAGAAAACTTCATCCCTAATGGACCTCCCAAAAAGAAGGAAAAAAGCCAACGTAATAAAAAGAGACTAAAAAGTAAAAAGGCTTACGCATTATCCCGAAAAAGCCAAATTTCAAATCGCAAAAAAAAAGAGATAAATTGCGGAAAAAGGCAAAATCAAATGAAAATCCTTGCTCCCTAAGTGGGTCACCTCAAAAAAAGAAAAAATCAACAAAAAAGAAGGAATTGGAAATTCCATTCCTTCAACAGAATAAGAGCACCACAAAAGCCAACTCGCACCCACATCAATTAAGGAGCCAAGATTCCATTCCCCCAAAGGGGCTACCAAAATCTGACCCTCGGGAAGTCAACCAATTCCCCGGTGGATCAATAAAAAAGAAAGATCATCCCCAGTGAGCCTACTGCAAAGGAAAAACTTCATATTCATCCTCAGAATGTCATTTGCCTACACATAGGCAAGACCTGACAAGCAAGAGCCAGCATCCCCATAAGGGAATATCAACCTAGTCAGAGGCAAAACAAATGCAGCCAATAGTCTTCACTTCCGATGAAGCATCTGCCTACTCAGAGGCATTACTAGAAACTCAATGGAGTATCTGCCTGCTCAGAGGCACCATCAAAATCAACAAATTTTCAATGGATATCTGCCTACTCAAGAGGTGTCACCAAGATCAACAAATCCCTAGAGGATTTTTGCCTACCTAAGAGGCACTCATCAAAAATCCCCGACAACCAGCGAAGTCGGATGACCACTACCAAAGTATCAAAACACAGAATCCCCAACAAACAACAAGCTGGATGGCTATCAAGAAAAACAAAAAACAAAGAATCCCCGGCACACCGGAAGACTTTACCAGAAAGGTCCAAAAACATTTACCAAAATAGAAATCACTCCCCATGGAGTCGGCGCATGAGCTAGAGCAGTAAGCCGCCACCACAGCCAAAGGGTCAACTACTGCAAGAAGGGGCATCCGGAGGCACTTCACCAGATGGGGGTGTGCACTCATCAAGCCTTACAAAAGGAGGCTTACCAGACGGGGTTCATACTCGTCAAACACCAGATGGGGGTGTGTACTCATCAGGCCTTACAAAAGGGGGCTTACCAGATGAGGGTTGTAGACCCCAAATCTTGCCCGGACTCCTAATAAAGCCGAAGATCGCCCATTCCGAAGATGGTTAAGACTTTATCAAGTCCCTATCTTGACTTTGTTTGTGGTCCAGACCTATCATAACTTTGATGAATCTTCCAAACCATGCTCTTGGGGATTATTTTAGCCATATAAAGCCTTTCTTAGCTTGCAAATAGTTCAAGTAGTAACTTGCTCTTTATAACTAGGGGGCAGCTTCATATATATTTCTTCTTCAAGGTCTCCATATAGAAATGGATTCTTCACATCGAACTACTGTAGGTCCCAATCATGATTTGATGCTAATGATAATATTGCTTTGATCGTGTTCATCTTGGCAACCAGGGCAAGTAATCCACTACTTTCAGTGAATTCTTTAGCCACTAACCTTGCCTTGTTACGTTCAAAGGTTCCATTAGTTCGATACTTTACCGTGTATACCCACTTGCATCCTACTGGTTTTCTTCCAGTTGATAAGATGACAAGTTCCAATGTCCTGTTCTTTTTTAACATGTCCATCACCATATCTATGGCTTATTTTCATTTCTTGTCAGATAATATTTCAGATATAGAGGAAGGTCTTGTTATGGAGTTTAGATTTGTGAGAAAGGTTTTATGTGTAGTAGAGAATTTTTCAATGGATAGGAAATTTGATAGAGGGTAAAGTAGTTGTTGGGTACATGCTCTGGTTCCCTTTCTAAGGGCAATGGGAGGGTCCAGGTTTTGTTCAAGCTTTGCTTCTAAATTTTCAGAGACAAACTCATTGGAATTATTGGAGTTAATAGGATTAGAAAGAGTTACCTCATGTAATGATGGTGAATTGGATTTTTGGATGGACAAATTTTGGAATGACCTTTTCTCTCCTTGAATAAACCATATTTTCCCCAAATTTTCCACCCATATTTGGTGCAGGTCTTGTTGCTGGGTTAGGAGGTTCAGGTGTAGGTTTTGCTACTAGTTCAAGAGGTTTAGGTGTAGTTTATTTGGAACCTTGAGAGGGTCATATTCCTCTCTTATATTCTCCACTTGAAGATGAGGTTGCTTGAAGTAGCCCTCATTGAATGTGACATCCCTTGATGCAAAATCTATTCGATGCAGGGGGGGTTGAAAACATTTGTATCCCTTTATGAATGGATTTTCTTTATTTTTTTATGAAAATACTAAGCTTTGCCAGTATCATCAAAATTTTGTTATTGTCATATTTGTGTTGGCCTTGTCACTAAGTTGATGAAATGACACAGATACAAATTATAGCATGTGAAATCAATGCAATTATGCAACTATAGGATAGTTATTAGTTAGTGATAGATGCATACCTAAATTTCCATTCATCTCCATGAGTAAAGTTTTGCTCGAGGGTTTTCTACCTATCATGGGGGATTGTAAAATTGTCATTTCATCAAGAAAATTTAAACTCAATCTCTACAGTAATTCCCTAGAAGGTGGGGGATGCAAGCGTCATGATTCAAATCAAAAGAATTATCAATTTATAGTAAAATGTAGCTAGGTTTCGTTCAACCTAGTTTCTTTTCCATAGGATTGTTGACAATTAACAATTTATCAAACACATACCATGCATCATAACATTGACAAAAACGTAAGAGAGAATTTGTTTTAACTAACGACCGAAGTAAGAAAGAATAGTAGTACAACACAAAATTAAGAAAATGAGACGAAAAACAATTGAGTCAAATAGATTAATTCTCAATTCCGATTCACCACCGATCAATTATTACTGATTAACAAGATCCAAATTTCATTAGTCAAAAAATAAATTCAAGCCATTCATAATCTAACCTCAAATCAATCACAAAATCATAGTGAAGAATTAATCCTTGAGCATCCAAGCTTCCATAACAGAGTGCATGCATAGTGGTGCAGAAGACAGAATATGAATCAATGAGAGCTCAATCTGAAATTACAAAAGTGAGTCATAGGTTACTAACTAGACATCGCTAGTCTATTTATAAGCTCTGATTCATGATCCGAATTGAATCTTAATTTTAAACCTTACTTATGGGCCTTGATTAAAGTAATGAAACCAAATTACAAATGTTTTACACTTAATCTCATCTAAGGAAAATTTAGCTATTCTACCTAAACATCAAAAGATCATGACTCCTAGCAGTAATCTCCAAATCTAACAATCCATATGTCCATTTTGAAGCCTTGGATGTCAAGAATCCAATGGAAAAGAATCAGCTAAAAATAATACTTGTAGCTCAAGGTATGGCCAAAAGAATTACAGTTGTGCTAAAAATACAAAATTAAAGTAAATTTGAAAACAAGTCCAATTTATTGCAAATGACAGGAAATGGTAAAAATTAATGAAGTATGTCAAAAGTGTTTCGGAGATACAATAAAACTATAAATGTGAGTACAAAACGAGTCACTAATGGGTTCCTTTGTTTGCTTATTAGATAGTGTGACAGTGACATTTTTAAATGAATTTTGGGGATGCATATTTCAGGTGCCAATAATGAATAGTGATCGTCAGGAAAATGTTCAGTTAGAAACCCTAAAGGAAGACATTCAGATGGTTAGTGCATTTATCCGTTGTTTGGTTTTTTAGTCTACAGCTTTGCATAGTTAATTGTTCTCTGTAATAGGAATTTTTATTACTACATTTTTTATTTAGTATTTTTGTTTCCTGCAGCCTTCAATTTTGGTGTCAAAAGAATTATCTTCTATAAATTTGTGGATGAACAATGCTCAAGCCAGATCAAGTACTCACTATGATCCACATCACAATTTTCTTTGCATAGTTTCTGGCTGCAAACAAGGTATATCTCTTCCTCTTATGATGTATCCATGACCTTCCCAGCGTGAATATATTTTTTCCTGAGTAATGGAGGTGTTACTTCTCAGGGTATCAGTTATGTAGCAAATTTCGGTTCATTGTTATGGCTTGGTGATGTTTTAATCTATTTAATGTCTGAAGTAATATGCCAATAAATATGGCATCAACTCAATAGGGTATTGGAACTTTATTTTCTTCTCCCTCTAACTTTCCAAGAGTGTTCACTTTTCCCTCTGTTCAATTTCCTATATAACCTTCTCTAACAACCAAATGCTTTGCAGTTGTTTTGTGGCCTCCTTCTGCTAGTCCCTCACTCTACCCAATGCCCATATATGGGGAGGCTTCTAATCACAGGTATTTTTTATAAACAAATATCTGTATGACCAGAGAAAAGAGACATATATAGAGAATCACTGTATGACCAGATGCACTTAGTGATTGTTAGGTTTCCTATGTCTATCAATGTGTTGAATAAATTGTTGTACACTTGTACTGGTACTGGCATGAGATGATACAACTCTTACAAGTGTGATCCATAATACACTACTCACTAGCTAGTAGTCACTGAGAGATCACTATATTCTAACAGTTCTGTTTGTTGTTTTTCTCCAATAAAATTCATGTGGCAGTTCTGTCACTTTAGAAAATCCTGACTACTCAATTTATCCAAGGGCAGAATGCTCAATGGAGTTTGCACAAAAGGCTGTTCTTCAGGCAGGCGATGCACTTTTCATTCCTGAAGGCTGGTAAGGTTTATAATTTGACAATGTCTTTATGATAAGACTTTTTAGTGTCTGTCATCTGAATTAGGGGATCATGGGTCAGGCTGGTTGGTTTGGACAGAGAAACTTATTGCATGACAATACTATAACTTATCCAATTTATTGTTATGCTAGACTAGTTATTCAAATGTGAACTTATTAGGGCAAAAGTTGTAGAATATATGGTAGAAACATGCATTCGATCAAATGGTTTGGGTGTGTTGAGAAGACCTGTATTGTAGAAGCCTCATTATTGGGGAGAGTTGATCAAATGTAGGGTAACACAGTCACTAGAGGTTGAGGGAGACTGAGAAAAATTATAGATAGATAAAACCATTAAGAAGGATTTAGAGGTCAATAAGGTTTCTAATGATATTATTCATAGCTTCGTTGTGGCTTTGTTTGATGTATGTAGTTGACCCCACCTAGTACACAAAGGCTTGGTTATTGTTTTTGTATCAATCTACAAACTTCTTAAAATCTCTCAAATTTGTTATTTATATACATTGGTTTCATTAGTGTTTTTTGCTGTAGGTTCCATCAGGTAGATAGTGATGATTTGACCATTGCAATTAACTTTTGGTGGAGATCTAACATGATGTCTTTCATGTTGGAACACATGGATGCTTATTATTTACGCATAATATTGAGAAGGTGATGTAGTTGTTTGTTCATAATTTGTCAAATAGATGCTAATGAGATATACTGACTTTTGAATGATATTTTTCTTGTCAATTATAATTTACCTATTGGATGGACACATACGAAGATTGGTTGACAAAGAAATGGTACGTGGCTGCTTAAATTGTGTCATTTACTGGTGAAATTTCTAATAAAGTGTACACTCTACTTCATTCTATATTCTTTTTCATGTACTGGGCAGTTGGGATTGGATTATAGCTAAAGCTATAAAGCTAAAAATTAACACTTCAATATTACTCTTTTGTTAACTTTTGAACACACCTACAGATATATATGTAAACTGCTCCCCTTTTCAAAATTCTTTAGATATGTATGTTGCTTCTTGAAGTCTTATTCTTGGCCTGCCTTTTTTATGCTGAGTATCACTCACTGGATTCGAATTTTCAGATTGGTCATGAGCCCGATGGTGAAGTGAATCAATTTTGGGTATGAGTGGGTTGGGTGTCAGTTAGTGATGTAGGTAGCAAGTGTGAGGAAAGAGCGATTGGTTGGTGAGTAATGGTATGGACAGTGATGGGGAGGAGATGGGTATTATTTTTCTGTTGCATGGAGGTTATCTTCCTGTAGGAGCTTAGGCTGAGTATTTTCCAGGCTTGATTGTAAGATCCCTGGTAGTTCTTTTCCTTATTAATCAATAATTTTGTGTCCTATCTTTCTATTGGAGGAGTAACAGTTGTTGAAGTAGCAAGGACAAACGTATGAACACACCTGTCATTTATCTATTTAATTTTATTCTCATTTATCTATTTAATTTTATTCTTATGTCTAGAGAAGTGAATGGTTTGCTATCTATCTGATTCTAACCTAGCAAAGTTCATTATAACGTCGTTAGATATTGTTTGATATTATGATATTGTTAAGATATTGTTAATTACAATATCAAACAATATCTTCTATTTGCTTTAATTAATTTTCTAGTTACTCTTTTTAGTTGTATCTCTCTCTATTATAAATAGATTACCTTATGAGTGGTTTATACACAAGGGAAATTAATCTCAAACCCTATTTTCTTTATATTCAACATGGTATCTAGAGCTTAAGGTTATTTTGAAATTTTTTTCGCCTTTGTCCACTACCGCCACCACCGCCACTACTGGAGTCGTCGTTGCTGCCAGAGCCGTTGTCGGAGCCGTCGTCGAAGTTTCATTTTTTACCAGCGACATACGGTTTTGCTCATCTTGGTCAGGCGACCATTGTATAGTTGAGATCACCACTATCGGAGTTGGTCGTCCGTTGTCTCCAACGCCGTTTAGTTTCGACGGATGTGTTTTGGTCTTCTTGTTTTGGATCTATGCTTCGTGGGTTGATTGGACTACTTTGGATGTTCTTTTTAGGGTTTGTTTTACCTCCCTTCATGACTTCTTTCGCTCCTTCTTCTGTTTCATCCGACACACCTACTATGTTCAACAAATTTCTCAAATAGTATAAGGATCAACAGTCTTCTAGTTCTACTGCATTTGTCGCACACACAGGTACATCTTTTGTTGGTCTGACCCAATCTTCTTCTCCTGGTCCTTGGGTTTTTGATTCAGGAGCCACTGATCATATTGCTGGTAACAAATCTTTGTTCACCTCTTTATCCTCTCCTAATCCTTTACCTTTTGTTACATTGGCTGATGACTCTAGAGTATCATCTCATGGTGTTGGAACTGATAAACTTTTCTCTTCTTTAACCATTGATAATGTTCTTTATGTCCCTGAGTTTCCTTTTAACCTGTTGTCCATCAGTCGTTTAACTCGTTCTCTTGATTGTGTTATTTTTTTACCAACAATTCTGTGATTACAGGGCTGGAGTTCGAAACAGATGATTGACACAGGATGTGAGTCTCATGGTCTTTATCATCTCCGTCCCTCTACACATGTTGGTTATGGAGTCTCGTCTCCCTCTTTTCTTTATGCTCAGTTAGGTCATCCAAGCCTTGCCAAGTTATAGCAGCTTGTCCCTGTCTTGTCCAAGTTGTCTAGTTAGGTGTGTGAGTCGTGTCAATTAGGCAAACATAGTCGTGTTTTCTTTCCTCGTAGTGTCGCACGTGATGCTTCGTCCCCTTTTGTCGTGGTTCACTCTAACACTTGAGGACCTAGCCGCATTAAGTCTACTTTAGATTTTTAATACTTTGTTATTTTCATTAATGATTATTCCAGATGCACTTGGTTATTTTTGATGAAAAATCGTTCTAAATTATTTCATATCTTTCAATCTTTTTTTTAATGAAATTCAAACTTAGTTCAGTGTTTCTATTAGAGTTTTGCTCAATGATAATGGTTGTGAGTATCTTTCTCATTCTTTTAAACAATTCATGGTTTCTCATAGTATTCTGTATCAAACTTCTTGTGCTTATACACCTCAACAAGATGGTGTAGCTTAACGTAAAAATAGACATCTTATTAAAACAACTCGCATTCTTTTAATTCATGGAGAAGTTCCTCAACATTTTTGGGGTGATGCTCTTTTTACTGCATGTTATCTCGTTAGTTGCATACCTTTTTCAGTTTAGATAATAAAATACTTCATTCCATTTTATTCCCTTATGAACCACTTCATCCCCTACCTTTAAGAGTTTTCGGGTCTACATGTTTTGTTCATAATTTTAGTCCTGGTCTTGACAAACTTTCTCCTAGATCACATAAGTGTGTTTTCTTAGGGTTTACAAGATCAAAAAAAGGATACAAATGATTTTCTCCTTCTCTTAATCGTTATTTTGTGTCTGCAAATGTCACCTTTAATGAGTTCTCCCTTTATTTTAAATGTCAATCTTCACCTCTGTCTCCATCCAATCCTGTCAACACTCCTAGTATATTTAATGTTTCTGTTGTTTGTGACCCTCTAACTGTGTCTTCTTCACCATTAGTTCCTACACTGCAGTCAGTTTCTTCTCCATCGCCCCTTCAAGTTTATAGTTGTCGAAATCGATCACAACCACCACCATGGACTCCACTCAAGTGTCAACTACTCTATCTCCTCCGACTCTGATACCTGAGTCTGACCTTCCTATTGCCTTGCAAAAAAGTATCTCTTTTACACGTAATCCTTCTCCCCATTATATTACTTTGAGTTATCAATAACTGTCATTACTTTTTTATATATGTCTTTCCTTTATTTCTTCTGTGACCATTCTAAAAACTGTCTGTGAAGCTTGAACCCATCTTGGTTGGCGTCAGGTCATAACAGATGAACTAAATGTTCTTCATCATAATGGAACTTGGACATTGGTCCCGTTACCGTATGAGAAATCTGTTGTTGATTATTGGTGGGTATTTGCTATCAAAGTTGGACCTGATGGTTCTATTGATTGTCTCAAAACTCGTCTTGTAGTCAAAGGTTATACTCAAATTTTTGGGTTAGATTATGGAGTTATTTTTTCCCCGTGGCAAAGATGACTTCTGTTCGTTTATTTATCGCCTTGGCTGCTCTTCAACAATGATCTCTTTATCAACTGGATGTTAAAAATGCGTTCCTCAATGGTGATTTGCAAGAATAAATCTATATGGAGCAACCTCCTGGGTTTGTTGCTTAGGGGGAGTCTTCTAGGATGGTATGTCGTCTTCGCAAATCCCTATATGGCCTAAAACAGTCTCTTAGGGCCTGGTTTGGAAAGTTTAGCAATGTTGTTCATCAATTTGGTATGACTCGGTGTGAAATAGATTATTCTATATTTTATCGATACTCGAGTAGATGTGTTTACTTGATAGTATATGTTGATGACATTGTTCTTACAGGTAGTGACAACCATGACATCTTTCAGTTGAAATAACATCTCTTTCATCATTTTCAAACCAAAGATTTTGGCAAATTCAAATATTTCTTGGGTAATGAGGTGACACAGTCCAATGATGGTATTGTTATATCTTAGAGGAAGTATGTCATGGATATTTTGTAGGAAACTGGGTTAATGAGTTCAAAGTCTGTTAATACACACATAGATCCCAATACTAAACTTCTACCAAATCAGGGGAATCTATATCTGATCCTGAACAGTATAGAAGATTGGTTGGGAAATTGAATTATCTAATAGTTACTTGTCCTGACATTTCTTTTACAGTTAGTGTGGTAAGCCAATTTCTTAACTCCTCATGTGAAGATCATTGGAATGCAGTCATTCGTATCTTAGAGCATATTAAAGGATCTCCTGGAAAATGATTGTTATATAGTTCTAATAACCATATAAGAATTGTTTGTTACTCAGATGTTGATTGGACAGGATCTCCTTCTGATAGAAGATCCACATTTGGGTATTGTGTCCACATTGGTGATAACTTGATTTCGTGAAAAAGTAAGAAACATTGTTGTGGCAAGATCAAGTGCAGAAGCAGAATATAGAGTTATGGCCTCAGCTACTTGTGAACTTATTTGGCTCAAGCAATTTCTTAAAGAATTACAATTTGAAGATGTCACTCAAATGACACTTGTGTGTGACAATCAAGTTGTTCTTCATATTAGCTTTAATCCTCTCTTTCATGAGAGGACCAAACACATTGAGATTGACTGTCATTTCATTCAGGAAAAGATTATGTCTGGAGACATCAAGACTGAGTTTGTTAACTCAAGTGATCAGTTAGCAAATATTTTTACTAAGTCTTTACGGGAGCCTAGAATTGATTATATTTGTAAGAAGCTTGACACATACGATTTGTATGCTCTAGCTTGAAGGGAAGTGTTAGATATTGTTTAGATATTGTTTGATATTGTTAAATATTATTAATCACAATATCAAACAATATCTTCTATTTACTCTAATTATTTAGTTACTTTTTTTAGTTGTACCTCTCTCTATTATAAATAAATTACTCTATATGTGGTTTATAAACAGGGAAAATTAATTTCAAACCCTATTTTTTCTATATTCAACAAAAGTTAATCATATGGTTATTAAAGCTTCTCTCCCTCCCTTTTCTCGTTAAATTCAAAGTAACTGTATTGGACTTGTGACATATTTATGTTTTTCAATAGACAGGACCAACTACTGCTTAAATTGGGGATGGGAGCTAGGATGTCTGCATGCGAGTTGCCTAATAATGGACAATCAGGTATGTAAATTATAAGAACGCCCTGATGAAGTTTGTATTCACGATTGCCTCATTAGGAGAAAAATAAGTATACTGCTTATCCTTTTGTCAGTGGCTGTCTAACTGGTCTTGCTAATCTTATTGTCAGATCATGCTGATGAAAATTATGGTAAGTATTTGAAAGGGGTAGATTTAAAAGAAAAAAGACTTAAAGAGAGAAACACTTTGCAAGAATTGGAACCTGCTGCAGTTCAGGTGCTTCATGAACTTGTGTCTTTGGTTCACAACAGTGTTAATGCCAACCAAGATGCGCAATCACTGTCAACTTCTATAAATGGCTATGAGCTTGTAGGGAATGATGAATCTGAGAAAATACTGAATGCTGACTTGAAAGATGATCCAGTTGCTAAATTTCTCTGGGACATCAATCCACAAACTCTCCAAGATGTCTTTCTTGCTATGGCGGTTAGTTATTAACCTACTAAACTAGCAAATTTCAAAGAAGTTTGATATTCTTTATACACTTCTTGGTACTTTGACCTGTGGTGTGGGTGGTTTCATTATGGTTAGACACACGGAGTTATTACTTGGTCATATCAATGAAAATTTTCATCCCTTCATTATGGTTTGGATGAGATTGAGATTGAGATTTTTGTTTGTTCTAATAGGAAAAGGGCTTTGTGGCCGCTTCTTTTAGTTTTATATATTGTGCTTTTCATAATTTTCCCAACTATCAATGATATTGGAGATATTGTAACTGCTGCAACTTGAATTATATATTAATCTTAATTTTATTTGTAGGTTTTAGCAGTTTGTTTGATCATTTAAGTTGTATATATATTTGAAGCATATTGGATTATTTACTATTTTCAGCACAACTTCCCAAGAACTTTAGAGGCTCTTGTTCTTCATGTGCTTTCGCCCGTTGGGGCTGAAGTCCTTACTCGGAAATTTGATGAGATGGATCAACATACTCTTCAGGATGATCGGTACTTACTCATATAGATAACATCCAATTTTTTATGTAATTGTCAAGAAGATAACATCCATTTTTTTGCCATGTAATTTTAGGAATGGATTCTATGAGGTTTTCTATCGTGCATTTGATGACCAATCGGCAGCAATGAATTCAATTCTAAAAGGGAAGGAGTTGTTCACTCAACTGGTAATTGCTGAGTTGTGCTCTAGCTTTATCTTGTGGAATTTAATGTTCTGAATTTAGCCTATAATATATATTTGCAAAATTTAGTCCTATATTTAGCCATTTGGCCCGTCGTGAGCTTCAGCATTACTAAGATGGTCTTTCGCTCATTAGTACTTTTGCCAACAAGCCAGTCAAGCATTTGTATTTCCATACTCAATTGAAACCATTAACATCTAGACTTTAAAAGCTTACTGAGGAATTACACATGTTTCTTTTGCCAACATGGTTCATGTAATATTACTATATTGGTTTACTTGGGTGAAAAAAGTAAACACTGCTGATTAGCAATCCCTGAGTTTTTTTTCACTTAGTTCAACGTTACATCATTTTGTTTCCACTGCTGCTGCTTTAAATGCCTAGCAAACAACGAGGCTGATATATGATTCAGGATCAAAATGACTTGAATATTTGAACCCCAGTCTCATTTGTGATGTCTTCTTGATAACGTAGATCGTACACAATGCTGGGAATTATAAGCATTACATTTATTGTTTTGGTCGTTCATCATATAATAAAGTTATTTTATTGTTGCAATCTGGGCTAGAATTGTGACTTACCTTGGATGGAGTAGTGCTAAGATTGGCGTAGAGGTTATTCTCATTCCAATTACTACTGCTGCCCATCTAACTGAAAATAATTGGGCATGACTGTGGTTGCTATCATGCCTGTCACTACTCGTTTGTGCTATAACTATTTGGCAATAATTGCATTATTTCAAGCTCAATATTCATTTGATGTCATATTTTTGCTATTCTAACTTTCTTCTTGCATTTGTTGCTTTAATATATCCGTCGATACGGTCATATGCTTTGCCTTAACATTTATAACCTTATTTATATTCTGTCTGTCATTTTCTGACCAAAGAAACTATTTTTTATTTCTCAGAATCAATTGATTTTGAAAATTTTGACTGTCATGTTCTGTAATTTTTTTTTTCCGGAGAGTGACAGATTTCCTAGATATACTTTGATGGCGGCATCTTTCTCTTTTCAATAGTCTCTATCCTCATCATTATTCCTGTGCATGGGTCTCGCATTTGTTGCACTGCATGTGCATTGAGACTTTAATTTCACTTTCATATATGAGAGAGAATACGCAACTGGATGAAGAGATTTTGCTGTTCAGAAAAATACTAGTCATTTAAACGTGAAATGTTTTCATAAAACTAATCAAAGCTAGATTTATTAAACTTTGAACAACACATGGAAATATATGCACAATTTAAAATATTTATATTGATTTGTTTTTCTTTCCTTTACCTGTATGGCTCAGGCGTTTAAAAACGTATTGGATAAATTTGTGGGAGTGAATCTGGAAAGCTGAAAGCTGAAAGCTGGGTGTTAGAAGAGATTCAAAAAGAAGTAAACTTCATGGACGAATTGGCCCACCCGTACCATCAAAGATTAAACTCAAAATTGATGCTTTGAACTTTTCATCGTCTGGGTCTCTAGACGTCAAGTGAAGTGAAACATATGAATGAATTGGCCCCACACACTACTGATGCATATTGGAGACTGAAGCTGTTCGTCTGGCTGTACTTTTATTTGTCGTTTACACTTCAGTACACGATCATCACTAATTTGAACTACATTCATGGTTGTACAACTCACAACAGTTGTGTACATGCTATCTGATTAATACGTTGAATTAAGTCATTCACGTTTTTTTGCTTTAATGAAAAATCTTTCTGTTTGGACGCTGGATCAGGCATACCAAAATGATGTACCCTATTTGTGTTACTTAAAGTTCTGAATGTTTAACCCGGCATCAGGGACGACTATATGGATAAAATAATATGTGGTCTTGATCTGAGACAAGTGCCAGGTCCAAGCCCTGCTTAAGAAGCCCAACATGGACAATTTATCATTGATAATTTTCTGCAACGTTGTTCTTTTCCCATTTTAATTATAACTAGCGAAATCTTAGTAAAATATTTGATTCTAATAAACTTGAGTTATTGGTTTAATATCTAAAAAATGATGATGAGTGCCAAACCATTTTCGTTATATCTGTATTCCGCAAAACACTTATTTTATGTTAACAATTCCTCAAATAATATTTAGGAAACTTGTTTTCTTAAATAATAAATGTTTAGCATTCTTCATATGAAAAAGTGGGACAGCTACTACTAACGTATGTATGTATAATCGAGTTAGACAAAGAATGTATGTCACTCAGTGTCCAAGAATAGCACTGTTATATTATCTAAGAATAGCAGGGGGAAAAAGCTAGGTAATTATTAGGACTGTGGGGAAGAAAAAGATGAAAAAAAGAAAGGCGAATGAGATGAGAATCTGTGGTGGAAGATGACATATGCAGGTATGTAAAATGTAAAATGTTGAGAGATAAAGAAGGGGATGGAGGGAATAGAAGAGGCTTTTGGTTTTCTTCTTTTACAGCACAGGGACATGAAAAGAGGTTGTCTCTTTAAGAAGGCAAATGGGATGAATTGTACCTTAACCCTGCAACTCGTGAATATACTTTCTAAAAGCTTGGATATCCCATAACACCCACACAGACCTAAATAAACCAAAAATCCGACACTACCTTCTTTTGTTAATCCCCATGTTCTTTTTCTTCCGTGCTCTTGCAGTGAATTTTACCCAGTTTTAGTGGCAAGGAACTTTCTTCATTCCTTTTTTTAGCTTGTATGCTCACGATGGAACGTGCAGTATCATGTTTGGTCGTGTTTACTATCACAGTTAAATTAAACATGAAAAATGGGTGGTTCATGCAAAAGCATGAGAAATAGTAACCAGCCAAAGCCTACGCGGCAGAAAAGATGATAAAGGATATGTTGAAAAGAAGGCCAAGAATTGCAATTCAAACTTTCAAACGTGCATCAACCATTTTTTTCATAACCGTTGACATTTTTTTTTAATCTTTTCCTTTATTTTCTGTGCACTTCTTTTCTCTTTTCCTTTTAATTGATTACCACCTACATGTCCCGGACCACCATAACACTCTGCACAAATATACAAACACACACCGTATATTTCATTTTGCCTTTTCACTCACGCTCATAACCTACATTCCATTGCATGTTTTGGAGCGTCTCTTTAGAAAAGACTCCATTTCTTCAAAACTTCTGAATCCATTTTCTCCCTCAAAAGAAAAAGTGGGCATTTAAAAGAATTTCTTGGAATTTGGTTAATGCTCTAGGCAATAAATGTGGGCTGCCCCATCTTCCCCAAAGTTGCTAAATCGTAGTTGGTTTTGGAATTTGCAATCTTCGTACAAAATGCAACGAAGAAAAATTAAATTTTCTATATATGAACAATGAATGTACCCATATACGTCGAAATTAATGCTTTCTTTCATGACTTGAAAGGATTTGCACCTTATGGGACCCACATGGATCTTATATGCAATAGTAATTGTACAATTACTTAGTGACCTCATTGACTCACGGGCTACGATTTGAGTTTCACAAAAAAGCAAGATGAGCTGTTTCCGTTTGAATATGATTCACGAAAATTCTTTGCTTAAATTTAATTGAAATAATAATGCATACTAGACCCTTTTGGAGCCAAGTGTTGCATGGCACAAATGGAGACAAAAGCTAGCGACATGGAGGACTTTGGCATTTAGCTGCTAAATCCAAACATGGCGTCACTTCTAATGCACCAGCTTCACAATCAGCATCATTCGTTATCAGACAGAGACTTAAACTAAATTATTATGCAAATAATGTTCAACATGCATGACAAGTTCCACTGTCACAAGGATTTTTATGCACAAATTTAGATTATGGTTATTTATTTGACCAATTATAGCTGGCTCTTCGTATCTTCAACCAAGGTGGATTTTTTTATACATATAAAAATTAGTCATTCGGTAATAATTTATTCTTTTGTTATTTTTTTACAGAAATGTTTTACTTGTTGTATTATATTGGGTGTATGAATAATGCTAGTTTCGAACTCTAAAGCATCTCTCTCTCATCCATGGGGTCGTAGAAAGGGTATTTCAGTCGTTTTAAAGCTTGCATGGTTGTGACAGCTGACCCTTGCCGACATGTCATAACCTCACGATCATTTGCGAGATAAACCTCTATACGCTTATTACTTCGTGTTAAAAATTCTGAATATATACCCTCTCTTTATTTTATCTATAATCTTGAAAGATAATGTATTATTTATCTATCATTCTCGTAACATTATCATATGAGGTGCATCTCTTATATATACTCAAGCATACAACTACGACTTTCATGAAATTCTAGAATGGAGACAGTAGCAATCTGGAGTTTATATATGATACAAAGCTTTTAGAATAAGTAGACTTGAATCGAGATTTATGTTTATTATTATAGTTGTGTTTAAAAGATATTTTTTATTATTTATTTCCTCAATTTTTTTATCATTTACTATGATGTTATTTGGCCTAAGAGAAATTGTCTCCAGTTTAATATGGAAAGGTTATGGATAAGTGTTTATATTATGGGATTTAAGTGAAGCGAAAAGACCCCATTTTAATAAAAACCATGGTATAGTACATCCATAATAACATCTAAGTGAATGTGGATATATATAATTAATTTTGTATTATCACCTGTGAGTTCTTTTTTTCTTCTTTTTTTTAGCAATTGTCAATGAATATTCTTGGACAGTACTATGGAACATTGCATGTATCTTATTAAATGATTTTTCATTAACTATAGAAATAAATGTTAAATAGTTATTATATGTTTGATTCGGTAAATAATGTTTTTCTTTTGTTTCTTCAAATATCAAATTAACAGATGAAAGCAATAGATGATTGAAAATATATAAGAAACATGAAAAAAAAAAAAAAAAACTAACAAGTTCGTGTATTTTTATTTTTCTTTTCTCGTTATATACCTCACGAGATTGAAAAAGGAAATACCAAAGACACTAGTTTCGCTAGTAGCAGTAGCGCCAGATTAAAAGCTGTGAAGACAAAGATAGGACATGGGTAGTGATAAAAACAAAAGGACCAATCATTATAATTGTGCATGTGACGTTTTCTCTGTTTCTTCTTCTCAACTTCATCTGTGCAGTGTGCAATAGTCACACTCTTCTACAGATATTCAGCACAGAAAACAAATTCTGTGCTTACTGTAAACTTATCAGTGTGCATCGTAACAACTAACTAATTCATTAAGCCTTTAATCTATACTTTGTATAATGGAAACTATAAAGAAACAAGAAATGTACGTTAAGAAAACAACAACACAAGGACGTGCAGAGGAAAAAGATAATCCTGACAAAACTAAAACACCTTTTAATGATTAATTCATCAACCAAGCTGAACCAAAGCATTAATTGTAGTAATTCAAAGGGGTAAAGTAAAATACAAGTTTCTGCAAGGGTATGAGAAAAAGGCAAACTGAGGTACCCATTCCACCCTCTTAGTTTTCGAATCACTCTCTTGTTTGTGTTACACCCAACATATTGGTCCCTTCAGTTGTAAGCATCAATCTCTTTCGTAACTTACATTACAAAATTTTACTTCAATCCTTAATTTAAACAAGGTAATTCAGTCATTTTCAGTACAAGGTCGATGCTAGCAACACACTCCTTCAGGTACTTTTATTAATAAAAGTGATGCTCAATACATTTAAATCTATTAAAGCGTGTATATTGTAAGAGAATGCTAGGAGGTGTGTTGTTAACGTTTCTTGTTCTGAGAAATGAATGACTCGTGTAAAATTAAGGATTATAGTAAACTTTCTGTGGAATTTGGCGTGATCGAAGCTTACAATTTCACAGACTAAAAGTGATCACTCGCAATTTCCCCAGGATTCGGGGCCAGTGGTTGTCCCAAGGAATCCAAACCCTTGTTGTTGCTTGATAAGCGAGTTACTATGATTATGATGGTGCTCGTAGGGTTGGTGGTGGTGATGGTTGTACTCTACGCTCCCTCCCGTGAACGTTAGCATGTCCTTGACGTCGATGCTAACGTCAACCGCGCCGCCATTGGTGAGGCCTAGAAAGTCCCTGGTGAGACCGTCGTTATTCTTGAGGTCCCTCATGTTGATGTAGCGTTCGGGTGGCACCGAGTTGAGCTGAGTCGACACGGTTCCCAACTCGGCCATGCTGAGCGTAGTCACGTGAGAGGGGCCCGTGATGGCGGCGGCTCCGATGGTTGCGGCCTTCTGGAGCAGCGCAGTGGCGGAGAGGTGTGCTGACGTGGCAGTGTTGGTGGGGCGAACGTGGAGGTCACGGTAGGGCGAGGTTATCATGGTCTTGGGGGGATGATGGAGAAGGAAGGAAGGAGAAGAGATGCTGTTGTTGTTATCGATAATGGGGGTGTGGAAGTTGTGAGATTCATGTTTGATGGTGTTGTGTAGAGTGGGAAGGTTGTTAGGGTTAGGGTTTGGGTCCCAGGGATTCATGAAGTTGTTGTGTTGCTGGTTTGGGAAAAGGAAGAGGGATTGGACTAGTGGGTTTGTGGTGTTGGTGGCTAATTGGTTTGCTGACAGTCTTGCACTTTCTTCAGCCAATGCATCACAGAATGCTCTGTGAGTTATGAAGCTGTCTTTCCTGCAGTTTCACACAAATAATACAAATTTTACCTCCACAACACAAAACAAACCTGCAAATATTCCTGCATCTATATCACATTAAACAAAACAAAACCAATAATGTTTTAAAACAAAAAACACGAAATCAACAACTAATGGATTAAACTCTTTAAATAGAGTCATATGTTTGAACTAGTGGATGAAAAAACCTTATATTTTCACATTTTAGATATCATTTTAAGAAACTAATAATTATTATTTTTATATTTCGAATTTCTTTTTGACTTTTTAATAATAAGGGATCTTTTTTCTTTTGGGGGTGTTATTGGAGCTTGAGGGTGAATGAAGTGAATCATGCATGTAACTGTGGAGTTTGCAAAACCAAAAGAAGGACTTATTACGTCCTTGTAGGATGTGCCCCGTTTGCAAAAAGGTGGGGAAAATCATGCATGGGAGAGAGGTAATAATCCATACACGGATTGAAGTGTAAAAGGCTTAGACCAAATGAGACACGAATCATGTCGCAGGGTCAAATTTAAAGTAGGAGAGAGGAGAAAAAAAAAATGAGTGTGGACAAACGATGAATGCCCTTATGCTTTATGCATGGAGACAACAAAAAGAATTATTGGAGAAGACTTAAATTATGTTAGTAGCACTTTTAATTAAATTTTGGTAATTACTGTCAATTTTAATTATTAAAGCAAAACATGAATTTTACTTGGAAAATATCTAAAGTTGGTCCAAATTTTGATATATTGACTCAAACGTGAAAGGATAAATGGCATTGTCGTGATGATGGAGGAAGTCTTGGGAAACTAGAGCTCATGCACGACTCAATGGTAAGAAATGGAAATGAATCCCATGTATCCACTGATGAAGCTAGAGGAAAGCAACTTAGCATATCAGATTTTTTTGCAGATTTATCAGATTTCACAATGATGAAAGTTCAGAGAAAAATGGATAAAATAATTTTTTTTAATAAAAAGTAAGAAATCATCACAAATTTTAGAACAATGTTAATTATGCTTCTTTTACTTTTCAGTAGACAAAAATAGATCCCATCATTTTCTTAGAGACTGCAGCCACTCCATATACGCACATTTGTGCGTAGATGTAAAGAGAGAGAATGGAAGTCTAGAAAACCATTGAGCACACTCTGACACCCTTGAAATTTTTGTGTAGCCTTAAACCCTATGAATTGAACACTAAAATTTTTTGGACATAATGTACAAATAGTGCATATCATGCCCTTCATGCTGGCATGCATGTGCATGCATCATGAGGTTAAAAAAATTAGTAACAAAAAAATGCTATTGAGTCACAGATAAAACTGTAGATAAAAACAAAAGATATAGGTGTGGCTTGTGATTTTGTTGTTAATTGCCGCACATTCATTTGGCAGTTTTAGGATTCGGAAAGGTAAAGTATCAGTCACTCTTGCAAATTGACACTTGTATTTTAGCTGTGTGTGTCCACTTTCACGCAACTGCCATGGCACTTGACTTGAGCATTTAAAGCAGAAATAAATTCCAGGGTGATGAAATCAAGCTTACCATTCTTATGTAAGAACAAAGATCCTCCAATTTCTTTTAAGAGAACCCCTTTTGATATATATAAGCATGAATCGATTTAAATCTAACATATGAGCACACTTCAAAGTTGCTAGATAAATAGGAGAAGTAGTATATATATGTATGACTATTATACCTGGAAAAAAGGGTTCCACAATCACATCTATATTCTCTAGTACCACAGGTTTTAGAGTGAGCTTTCCAATCTGACTGAACCGCATAGATCTTTGAGCACTTTTCACATTTCCACTTCTTCTCTCCATGTTTTCTGCAGTAGTGTTTCTTAATTCCTGTGAGGTCCCCCAGGGCCCTTGAGGGGTTGTGGTGAACGCATGAAGGTTCTGGGCAAACGTAGGCTTTCTTCTTCACCTCTTTGTTGTTTCTTTGCTTCAGCTTCCATGGGAGGTTATGGCCTCTCCTATGAAGCTGAAGGTTCTGGTCTCTCTGAAATCCCTTGTTGCAGATCTCACACACAAATCTATTGGTAGCTAGAAGAGTCTTCGGTGATAAAGCAATCACTTCAGCATCCGGGTCTGAAACGTGTCACAAATTATATAGAACATGAACCTAATTAACTAGCACAAACCTCATCTGCTAAATCAATTGAAGGGATATAAATATGACATAATCCATACTCCAAAGAACTTATACACAAAGATAAACTAATTAATTAATTACCAGGGTTTCCAGGGAGGTTTCTCTTTTTCTTGATCTTTTGAGGCTGTTGTGGAGAAATGGTTGTTGTGACTACGTGATTGAGTCCACCGATTCTTGTACCACAGGAGACAGTGGCCTCTTCGGACAAGGAATTGGAATTGGACATAATTGAAGGGAACATTGCCTTTGAAGAAAAACTCCAAGTTGGAGATAAAAAAGAAAGAGAAGAAAAGCAAGATACGATATTCTAATGCCTCGGTTTGTTTGTTTGTTCCAAACCGTAGCTATGTATTTATTACCTTGGTTTCGTGAGGGCTACTTTTTGCACCTTGGTGAGCCAAGAAATGCAAAATCCTAGCTCGGGACACGACTAATAAGTATACGCAGAACCTTGCTAGTGAACAGGTGGCAGGGGTTCTTAGACAGAGAAAGACATCATTTACTTTGTGGTAAAAAATTACAATAAAAGAAAAATATATGATGACTAATTAATCTCGTGAAGAGAGGAGATGATGATGGTTGTGGTGGGTTATTTTTCAAGTCACTGTCTCTAGGCTATGGATTGTTTGTCTGAGCTAACTCTGAACAACTATTTTAGATATGTGTATCTCTTTCCAATCTCTATGTGTGTGTGTGTGTGTGAAAGAGTTTATCTATGTAAAATTATACATGTTCATCAATAGAATCTACCATGCAATCAACAACCATTGAAAGACAAAGATATTTCCTCAACACAATAATCTCAGTACTCAATAACCTGACTTTGGTTTCTTAATATATCTATTGTGCTAAGACAAATTCATAATAACTGGGTATTTTTAGAGAGGAGAAGGTGATGATGACAAAAGAAGTAGCGGAAAATTGTAAAATAAATTAAGAAAAAATTGAACAAAGAAAGAAATTTGGGTGAAAAAAGGGCAAGGGGACTAAAAAAGGTTAAGAAGTCTGCAGAGAGAAAAAGATGGATGTGGATGACGGAATTGACCGGGCAAACATTAGGAAGTATCCTACTCACTTCACCCGTATAATACCCCTTTTTCTTTTATATTTGTTCATAAAAATACATACTTTTTTTAATAATTATCACTTATTTTATTTTATAATTCTATCTTTTTCTTAGGTATAAAAAGAGTTGTTTTTCCTTTAGCAAGGGTCTGGTGGCACGTTCTGCCTTTTCTCTTTGTTATGAGTAGTAATAAACACCCAAATCTTAAAAGGGCCTCTGAATGATATTAAAAGAGAAGACTAGCTAATGGCTTAAGATAATAAAAAGTTAATAGAAGGAGAAGCCAGAAAAGGTTGTGAAATACATGTTGGCATGCAGAGATAACCACAACTAATTAACATGATTGATTCACTGATTGCCATTACTGTGAATGTAATAATCTAACCATTATCATAGTTTGCTTAAGTTAATTATAGTACAGTCATTCATTTCCTGAAGTTTTTTCATGAATTTAAATAAGCAATGACAGTTGAGGGCCATGTTCAGTGAGAGTGAATTCCAATTCCTTGAGGCAGGAAACTTTGTCAGATACCATATATAGCTTTTCTGCAAATTTTATGTATTTGTAAAATTAACCTTAGAAACTGATTTAGCATAAACTTAAACACCCGTATATATAATGTATGACCTGAAAAAGGAAAACTATGTAATATTTACATAATGTGCTAGTGTTTGAATATACTTATAAAGCTCTCATAGTCTTGCACCTTTTCGATGATAAACATACAATAATTCATATCTCATGAAAGTTGCATGTTCTCTCGATCATGTATATATATACTTTCCTCAAGCTTATTATTTGGTTCGTGGAATGTAATATCAAATAATTGTTGTCCATTATAGCCTTGAGGATTTTCTGCTACTCTATCTTTCAGTGTTATTCTCTTACATCCTAGTTTGTAGAGAAAGTGCTCAAAAAACCCCACTAAGGAGAGAATTTGCAAAGGTTTCTTCTTTTCTTCTTTATTCCAAACCCAAATCTAAAGCTACGGAAGGGATAGAACATATTGTCCATTTTGCCATTTCATTAATCAAAATCAGCTAATCTTTGCTGTTTAAACTTGCATTGCTTTAAAGGTCAAAAATGTAATTGTGGACATAAACATTGACATTTGCTTACTTTAGGGGCCATGCGTGGGCTACTTCAGTGGAAGCAGCCATGCAAGCCATTCCATAAACCGTTGGCGTGTATGGAATAGGGACCCATCACAAGTTATATCTTGTGACTACAGATTTTCTCTTGGGGTATAATAAGATAATAGATTTGGAATCCAATGTGCCTTCTTTACATTTATTTTGCTAATTTTTTCTTTATCAATTACTTGCATGAAGTTAGCTAATATCTCCGTTTTAACAATGTTCTTATAAATTAGCAAAACAAGTTAGAAACTTCTTAAAGTCTAAGATGTGAGTTCTTCACATTCATCCAATCTTTTGGAATCAACCGGAATGGAGATTACATTGATACTTAGCCTAAGATGTGAAGACTAAGCATGCTTGAAGTTGTTCACTCTGAATTAGCAGCTCAAAAGTTATAGTTTGTAGATCCATACCTTCTGATCTTAGAAATGCAACTTATATATGATTAAAGTTACATTTAGATAATGACGGCGACCTAATTTATATAGAACTATATCACGGTTGATTTGACGCATAGTTTTCCAAAATTATAGTCTTGATGATGATGACACACTTCCCTCAAAATTCTATGAGGAAATTGTTAAATTAATAATTTTGGAAAGTTCGTTAATTAAGTTTGATGAGAACTCTTTACATTTTTTAATCATGACGTGGCAAGAGGATGGCCTTTCAATTTTGACTCATTAATTAAAATATATATTTGTTTGAGATGTGGGCGCCTAACTTTTTATCATGATTTGCAGAAAATTAAGTGTTTGACACCAACAAGACTTGTCATTAATGAAAGAAAAGGGAAAAAAGAATAATTTCCCTACCAAACACGATCCTGTAATATCCATGTTTATAATATAAGTTTGATTTGATTTTCTTAAAAAAAAAAAAAAAAAGAGAGTAGATTTGAAAAGTAAAACCACACGTATTCCTAGAACAGTACACACTCAAACATGTATGGACATGCATTCTATGGACATAACATATTGAAGAGTAACTGAAAATTACTTTATGAATGGTGCACGATTCCAAATAATATGACGTTTTTAGATGATGATGATGATGAGAGCATGTATGAATGAATGTTCCCAAGTGGATCGGATAATAGATCTATATTCTGTTTCCTTTCTAAGTTATCGATGCATGCATTTGAGGTGATAACAATTTAATAATAGTGTTTCAGAGTTTCTTGGTTTTATAATTCGATCTAATTCTCTTACAATATATATTCCTGTTACTGTGTTGTTCTGCAATATTCTGCATGCAGAGAGAGAGAGAGAGAGTATATAATATATGGTGATGATGAGTGGAAAAGAAAACCTCATCTATCTCCATGCGGGCCAGACATTATTCACGGGTTCTTCTATTGCTAGATTCTCGACCTCATCATCGCATATCAAAACTTCTACCTACGTTCCACCAACTGTTCCATAATACACACACACACACACAATATATATATATATATATATATATATATATATATATATATATATATATATATATATATATATATCATAAAATTATTTAGGTTCAGAAAAAAAAACTATTTAGGTTAAATAATTATAGACATGTAAAAACAATTAATTGAACATGCACACGTTGAATGTATTAAACTCGTTTCAGTGAAAAGCTAAAGAGAGAAAGAGAGTAGAATTTAGATGGTATTCAGATTTTGATTCAATGAATAGGCATTAATTAGTAATAGATAAGTCTTTTTTACAAATAAATCTCAGTACATGCGTAGAAAGCATACTGAATTTTATTATACAATGGATACCAGTATAATAATATATCTAGATAATACATTCATTATTTTTGTAATTAGAATTTAAAAGAATTTTAAATAATTTTTAATTTTTTTATTCTATTTCGAATTAGTTTTAGATTATTGAATAATTTAATAATTACACGCAGATAATATATACACTACAAGAAAATCATTTATTACCGACGGATATTTACCGGCGCATATGCAGCCGTCGGAAAATTAATGATTACCGACGGATATTACCGACGGATATATCCGTCGGTAAATTAACAATTAGTTACCGACGGATAATTAACCGTCGGTAAATTAATAATTAATTACATCACCCTTAAGCTCGCACGACCAACACCACTCCCATCCCTTTCTACATCTCATTCGCTTCTCCTCTCCCACTCATCCTCAACTCTAGATCTGCGCAGCACAACCACTTCCAACCATCACCGGCAGCCAACACGTCTCCACTAGTGGCTATTGTGAGCCCTAATCAACCCCCGCGAACCATCACTACCAATTGCGTCCCAATTTGATTTGTGACCCTCTCATTGGAACCGATCATTACCTCACCGGTGCTCCGCCATCACGCCAACCACCGCGCACCTTCGAACCACCATCCAACAACACTCCCATTCCTTTCTTGATCCCATTCACTTCTCCTCTCCCACTCATCCTCAACCCTAGATCCGTGCGCCACAGCCACCTCCAACCATCACTTGCAGCCAACACGTCCCCAGTAGTGGCTATTGTGAGCCCCAACCAACCACCACAAACCACCATTACCAGTTGTGCCCTAATTGGATTTGCGACCCCTTCATTGGAAATGGTCATTACCTCACTGGTCCTTCACCACCGCGCCAACCACCGCGCACCTTCGAACCACCATCCAACACCACTCTCATTCCTTTCTCGATCCCATTGATTTCTGCTCTTCCACTCATCCTTAACCCTAGATCCGTGCACAATAGCCATCTCCAGCCATCACCAGCAGGCAACACGTCCCCAGTAGTGGCTATTGTGAGCCCCAACCAACCACCGCGAACCACCACTGCCTGTTGCACCCTAATTCGTTGCAGGTTTTGTACCTTCTTTTGCTTGGTTATGGTTTTTAATTTTTTATTGTTTTGATTTTCTCCAACTCATGAATTTCTTTATTTATGGTGACAATTTGATCAATGCGCTTAGATAAATGAATTGGAATGATTCTGTAGTTTGTGTGTTTTTCGTGATTTGAGATGCTTGGTGTTCAATGTCAATACTGAAACTGTTGATCAAGTAGCTTAGCCAATGAATGGAATGAGAGTGTGATCTAGTTTTTGTATGTGTGGAATTGATTGAGGGTTGCAGGGGGGAATTTATTGTTGTTCTTGTTTGATAACATTCAGTATGAAGTCATAATTGAAATGTACTTATTAATGATGTTTATCTAGTTTTAGATTCATTAATGTTTGAATTTCAGTGACAGAGTGTTGGCTGAACATGATGTGCTTCGATTGCTACTTGTGATTTTAGCTTCATGTGATGTAGGCTTTTGTTGGAGTCATTGGATCACCTATTATTTATGAATGTGACTTAGCATGGGTCAATTTTATAATTTTTACCTGTCTTTGTTCTCTCGTAGCAGTCTATCGTGAGCAATTCTTATTTTCTACTTTCAGTAACTAAGCCTTACGCCTAAGCACTAGTTTCAATAGTTTTAATCTCAGAACAATCAAGTTAGCCAAAATTTTACTGCTTGAATGCTCTCTGATTTTCCTCTTTTTAATCCAATTCTGTAACACGTCTAAGAAATTTCATATGGAAAATGCGAGCAAGTTTAGTGCTTGTTAGACACTGCCAATTGAAAATTTGGGATACATAAAATAAATTGCAGTAGACTACGAAATCCTTGTTGAAGTTGTTTTAAATTTTCGATTGGTTATTGTGTATAAGTTGAAGCATTTTCTCTCCAAAAAACCCGGTTAAGCAGCAGAATAAAATAAATGAATTAATTCGTATCAATATTAAGTAACACAAATTTGAATGGTTTTGGTTATAATTTAATTTTTGTAGCTAGGATATGACTCATGTTAGATTAATATTAGTGAGAGTGAGTTAAACATGTAGACAGGGACTTGGGTTTATCATTCACACTCTACAGGTGTTTCTTTTATACGTTTCTTTCTGGAAATTGCAATTTGCTATAAAATCTCCCTTTACAATTACTTCTCCTTTGCCCATATCCACTGTGTACTGTGTACTCTATCAACCCTGCATGTAAATAAATAGTTTTGTGACATGATGACAATCTTACTAAGATAAAATTATCATAATAAGACAAAAGGACCAACCTTTCTGTTGTAGTCACATGCTAAAAGAATATTCATAATTAGGAAGACACTATACTAAGCTCATGTTGATAATCAGTCCTTTTTTTTGGAGCAGATAGTGTGATTCAATAAAAATTTATTGATATTTTTTTCTCAACAAAAAAAGGTGACAATCGCATTTGTATCGGTTTAGTGTCGACTAACCTACATATTTGTATCAATTTAGGATCGATATGTAAGGTTCTTGTAATGATATTTTTTAGGTTAATAATTGTGTAGTTTTTATTTTATTTCATTTTTTTCAATCAGCTTAATGGTTTGAAACGATTTGAATGGATTCTGTAACATTCCTTCTTATTATTCAAGTTAAAAAAGATTATAAGTACATAAATTACAGTATGTTTATTTAGACTTTCTTTTTGCGTAATTAAGACCAAAAAATGCCAGAAGGATGACTTAATGGGAGAGGGAGGAAGAAATTAAAGGCAATTATCATAAGAAAATAAAAACTAAATAAACCAATATTCTAAAAATGTTATTAAAACGTCACTGTTGCAGGTTAAGTGTTGGCAAATCAGACACCAAACAAAGGCTCCTAAAGCTGCAGGATTATCCATACTGATTTTTGAAAGGGGATTTATTTGTCCTGAGGTGAGTTCAATTCATGAATATTGACATTTCTTGATTTAACCTTGTTCATTCTTCCTTTTATATAATTGTTGTTATTCAATTTGCATTATACTTTTATAGTTAAACATTATACATCCACCGTAACTAAACACAAGAACTAAGCTACTTGGAAAAATGATGTACCTACATGTAGGTTTTAATAAATTGTTTTTATATTCTTTTAGCTTAGCAGTTTTATTGTGTTAATATGTGCACATTATTACAAGCTTACTAATTGTAATTATAATTTCAATTCATTTTTATATGTAAATATATTTTAGTACACTGATTCCTTTCTTATTGAAGCCTAATTACTTGAAAATCCAAATTTTAAATTGGATTTGACAACATAAAAGTAGCTTAGTATTATTATGTTCAATCCAATGTTTAGATTGGATTTTGTTTCAATTGATGTGAAGTGCAATTTCACTATTTGTCTAAAGTCTATAGGAAATTTCATTTGTATCAAATTTTAGAAAATACAAAAGTTTTAGTTGAGTCTTTTCACTTTATTTGAAACATAGTTGAATCAAAATCTAATGGTCGATTTCTTTCAAACAATTCCTTCAATTGATCTTATTCTCTTCTATATTACAGAACATGGATGATATTTCTTTCAATCGCAATTGGATGTATGATAGATGTTATAGTGGTAGAAGAGGTTTGAAAGAGTCTTTTGTTATAGGGGTTGAAGAGTTTATCAAAACAGCACGACAATATGAGCATTATGAACGTGATGGAGGGATTAGATGTCCATGCGTTAAATGCGACTGTACAAAGATTTTGAAGGATGAAATCGTCAAAGTTCACCTTTACAAGCAAGGGTTCAAAACAAACTACTGGATTTGGGTCGATCATGGTGAACAAATACCTCATGTTGAAGATACTTTTGATCACAATTGTGTACATAGTTCAAGTAGTGGTGCACACATGCCTCAACAAGACCAATTTATGTCAATGCAAGAGATGATGTACAATTCTCTATTGCAACATCATTCATTTGAAGGACCCGAGTTGGTTAATATACAAGATCCACCAAATGAAGCAACTCAAAGGTTCTATAATTTGTTGGCTGAAACAAATAAACCCTTATTTGAAGGGGCGGAGGACTCAAAATTGTCTATATGTGTTAGAATTTTAGCTTGCAAGTCAAATTGGAACATTCCTGACCAATGCTTATACTTTATGATACGAATGTTGTTAGATGTCACACCTATAAAAGATGGTTTGCCCACAACTTATTATGATGCTAAGAGATTAGTATCAAAATTGGGATTAGAGGCTAAGAGGATTGACTGTTGTGTCAATGGGTGTATGCTTTTCTATGACAATGATTATGGAAAAAAAGATGCGGCATTAGTTGAATGTAAATTTTGTCAAACACCAAGATATCACAACAATAGCACTGGAACAAGTCACAAAAAGTCAGTCCCAATAAAAGCCATGTTTTACTTGCCTATAATTCCAAGATTACAAAGAATATTTGCATCAATGCAAACTGCTGGGCAAATGACTTGGCACCATGACAATAGAACTTCTGGTGTGTTACGCCATCCATCAGACGGTGAAGCATGGAAGTACTTTGATAGGAAACATCCTTCTTTTGCTGCTGATCCACGCAATGTCAGACTTGGATTATGTTCTGATGGATTTAACCCATATATCCAAGCTTCATCTTCACCTTATTCTTGTTGGCCTGTGATTGTTACCCCATATAATCTTCCTCCTAATATGTGCATGTCAAAGCCATATATGTTTTTAACTTGCCTAATTCCGGGTCCATCTAATCCGAAAGCCTCTATTGACATTTACTTGGAGCCTTTAATCGATGATTTAAAAAAATTATGGAGTGGTATTCTCACATATGATATTTCAAGGAAACAAAACTTTATGATGAGGGCATCTTTGATGTGGACTATTAATGACTTTCCAGCATATGGGATGTTATCTGGTTGGGGGACTCATGGTAGATTGGCTTGTCCACATTGTATGGAGCATAGAAAATCATTTACATTAAATTATGGCCGTAAAAGTTGTTGGTTTGACTCGCATAGAAGGTTCTTACGTAATGATCATCCTTTTAGAAGGAATATTAAAGCTTTTCGGAAGGGGGAAGTTGAAGTAGATGGGCCGCCTCCTAGGCTAACACCTACAGAAGTGTGGTCAAGAGTAAAAGATTTTCCAAAAGTAACTGAATGTGGTGTGACAAGGATAGAAGGATATGGAGAGTGTCATAATTGGACAAAAAGAAGCATATTTTGGGATCTCCCATATTGGAAAGATAATTTGTTGAGACACAATCTTGATGTTATGCACATAGAGAAAAATTTCTTTGATAATATTTTCAACACTGTGATGAATGTAAGTGGCAAGACAAAAAACAATGAGAAATCAAGAAAATATATAGCTTTATATTGTAGGCGTAGAGACTTGGAGTTGAAGGCACAAGCTAATGGGAAAATGTTAAAGCCTAAAGCAAACTACACATATAGTACTGAGCAAGCAAAAATAGTTTGTCATTGGATAAAAGAACTTAAGATGCCAGATGGTTATTCTTCCAACTTAACAAGATGTGTTGATGTTCAAAAAGGGAGGATTCATGGCATGAAAAGTCATGATTGTCATGTATTCATGGAGTGTTTACTTCCTATTGCATTTAGTGCATTACCAATACATGTTTTAAATCCTCTTATTGAAATTAGTCATTTTTTTAAAGATTTGTGCTCTGCAACATTGAAGAGAGAAGTGCTAACTAGAATGGAAGAAAATATTCCAATTATTCTTTGTAAGTTGGAAAGAATATTTCCTCCTGGATTCTTTGATTCAATGGAACATCTCCCTATTCATCTGGCATATGAAGCTTGGCTTGGTGGACCTGTGCAATATAGGTGGATGTATCCATTTGAAAGGTATTAACATGATTGTCCCATGCCTTTTAAATGTCATTCTTATTACACTTATCAATCATAATATTGTTGTTTAATTCATTAGATTCATGGGTGATTCAAAACGATCAGTGAAAAACAAGGCCAAAGTTGAAGGATCAATTTGTGCAGCTTACCTACATCGTGAGACAACTTATTTTTGTTCTCATTATTTCAAAAACTTCATGTTATTACCACGACAACGTAGAAATGAAAAGGAATTTCAAAGCCAAACACAAGTTTCAATGTTATCAATCTTCCGACAAGTTGGTCATCCTTCAGGACGGGAGTTAAGTCACTGGTTGACTGATGCTGAATTTAAATCCGCTCATGTTCATATATTAATCAATTGTGTTGAAGTTAAACCATATCTTGAGTAGGTTTAAATAACATTATTTTTCAATTTCTTTGTCAAATTTTCTACGACTTTCAAATTGACTGTTGAAATGGTCTACTATTGGCTAGTTCATTCTTGCAGTCAGAACAAATCACTCGAATCACAGGCTTCGCTCGGATACATGCAAATTTTCCTACATGGTTCAAGGAGCAAGTATGAATCTTATAATTCTATTTTAAATATATTTTAGATATAGTAATGTAATATTGGATGTCTCTTAAATTTGTAGATCCACAGTGAGCCATGTACGATGAGAAATCAAGACCTAAGAGATTTGTCCAATCATCCCATGAGATGTGTTAAAGAATGGCACACATACTTTTTGAATGGATACAAATTTCATACAGATGCATGGAACAAGGGGAAAAAGACGATAAATAGTGGAGTTTATGTTAAGGGTTTGACAGAAAGTGGTGAAGATGATTTTTTTGGGATAATTATTAAAATATATGAGTTGGAATACAATTCTTCAAGTTATCCCAAAAAAGTTGTGGTTTTTTATTGTGAATGGTTTGATCCATCTAGAAGAGGTACAAAAGTAGATCCTAAATATAATATTGTAGATATTCGAATGGGTTTAAGATATGAACCATTTGATCCATTTATCCTTGCACATAATGTGAGACAAGTGTATTATGTCCCATATCCATCATTTTGAATAGATAAACGTGGTTGGTGTGTTGCAATCAAAACAAAACCAAGAGGTCACATTGAATGTGATGGTGTGGAAGAGGATGTCCCTTACCAACTAGATGAAATGTTACATGGTAATGAAGTCATTGAAGTTGAAGGTATATTTGGTTTACAAGACTTTGACATTGATCCTGAAGAATTGGAAGAGGAAGAGCAAGGGGAGGAAGAAGAGCAAGATGAAGAGGTTCAGGAAAGTCAAGAGGAAGAAACCGAGGATGAAGATGAAGA